TTCCTCCCACTATTCCTCCCTGCTGCCTGCACTAAAAGTTAAAGGTAAATAGGAAGAGATTTCTAGGAAGTGTCACCTTTTTTTTTTTTTTTTTTTTTTTTTTTTTTTTTTTTTTTTTTTTTGCTTAAGTCTTGATTTCGGTCATGAGCTGAAAGCAGCAGCTCAGCCCAGGATGTTTGGGTAGTAAACAAAGTGTGGTGGTGTTTGGATAACAAGGAAAACATGATGGCCTTTAAAGGATGCACGGAATCTCTGCAGTCACAACAAACCATTTTTAAATGATGGAGCAAATCTAAAACTTTTTAGACAATTTTAACCGAGTTTCTACCAGTTTTAATTTGCTTTTTGCCCATGGAACGAGGAGCAAATACCATTGGGAGCCAAATATGAAGCCAGGAATTCAAACAAGTGATGCTGCCTACAAAGGCTGTGGAATTTAATTTTCAGGTAGAAAACTGATAAATATTAGCTATTATTGCAGTTAAGTTAGGTTTCTAATTAAGCTACTAAATAATTATCAAAAAGGTAAAAATAGAGCCAAGAGAGAATCGTCTGTGTGGCCTCAGATGCAGAAGGCAAAACAAACACATCAGAAATTGGAGGGAGTGATGTTTGGGAAACTTTAATCCAGTGAAGAGCATCACTTGTGAGGCTGGATGTCTCCAGGGGCTCATTAAGTGCATCCAAACTTCCTGCTCTCCAGGAAATCCCTGCCAAGGTGTTGCAATAACTTTTCCTGGATCCTGCATGCAGCTCTGCTCTACCAGAAGCTGTCCCAGGAAGGCACATCCCATATAATCCCTTTATTTACTATCCCAGGGAATTCCTCTTTGGCACCTCTTCACACTGCTTTCCTCTAGAAATTTAACTTTTTGAGGTCTGTTTGAAGATGTCCTGCTCATTGGACTGGGAGACTTTTAAAGGTCCCTTCCAACCCAAAGCATTGCTGGATTTTATGATTTTAGCTCCTGAAATCAAGCTGCTCTTCAGGCAGCAGCCTGTCAATTTTGAGTTCAAAGGGAGAAATCCATGGTGCATCTCACACTTCCCAGAGGATCCAGTGGCTTTCCCAGAGCCAAGGATGAATCCCTGCACGTGGAGAATGCAGAGCTCTTCCCATCCCCTCCTCTTTGCCAGTTCTGGCAGATTTTTGTGTTTGCATCTGATAAATCCGAGACAGATTTGCACTGGCTCCAACTCAGACTGGAACAGGTTGTTTTTTTCCTGCTCTCTACTTGAAAATAACAACTCTAAGCCTGTCCCTAATCAAAGCCCAACACTTCAGCTCATAGAGAGAAGTGAAATTTTGGGGTTTTGTATTTTAAGATGCCTTTAGTGACCACAGGGCAGGAGGAGGAAAGCAAAGGGAGGGATCATCACCCAATGCTCAACCTGTAGCCACAGGGAGAACCAAAACCCACACACATACCCAGAAAAGCTGAATATTTTTGCTCCTCTTCCTGTAAAATATTTTGTTGTGAACTTATAGTCCACCAGAAAACAGAGCTGGAAGGAAGCATCATAAAGCACTAATTAGGAAAAACTCATCATCCCCTCACGGAAACGCAAACCCTGCATGGAGAATTTATCCCATCCCTACATCTAAATTAATTTTCCCCTTGGAAAAAGCAGAGATCTGTGGCTGCTTACCTGCTGGTGTGTTTTCCATGGGGTCTCCTGCAGCTCTGGGGTGCTGGGGCTGCTCTGGTCCCTTTTCAGCCCCAGGGAGGCTCAGCCCGGTGGCCTTGCCCCTCTCCAGGCTGACGNGAATTTAGGGCTTGCTCCAGAATTTGTTGTTTCTGTGAGTTCCACCCATTTTCTGTAGGCAAAAACTCCTCCACGCCCTGAACCCTGCTGCACACACCCCTGCTCCACCAGGAGGGCTCCTCCTCCTTTTTGGGGAGGAGAAAAGCAAAAAAACAACTGGAAAAAACCTGTCTCAGAGCAACAGGCTTGGAAACAGAGGTTTCCCCAACAAAAAGAACCAAAGAATGGTTCAGACACCTCAAAAATCCCCTAATTCCATCTCCCACCAGACCAGGCTGCTCCGTACACTTGACAAATGATCCCTGTAATTACACATTGATAACATAATCCCTGTAATTACACATTGATAATCCCTGTAATTACACATTGATAAAATAATCCCTGTAATTACACACTGATTGATTGATTTCTGAGGCTCACCAGAAGGAGATATCCTGCAGGCCCATGGCTCTCATCAATACCTTCAGCCTCTTCTTCTCCTTGAGAACTTTCACTGACAAGAAGTGCATGTATGGGCAGTAGCTCAGCACGGCACAGATGATGAACCAGAGGTAATCCAGTTTGAACAGAGGTTTCATCACAGTTTGCAGGTGAACTCCAGTAATTGACTTCATTTCTCTCCACACAGAGTGCTTGGTTTTCATCTAAAGGAAATCAGAAATCAAATTCATTTCGGTTTTGCAATGAAATAGCCAGCATCAGAGCAAACAGGGGGTTACAAGCATTAAAATTATTTGTTTGTCAATAATAGGGTTATGTTTATAAGCAAGTAACTAGTAATAAGTGTATTTTTGTGGTGATTTGCAATAAACACTATTAAAGCCTTGTTCCATTCACTGCCTTGAGCCATGAGAATGATCTGTTATTCTTTTAAATTTTGAATTACCCAAATTATTTAAGAAGTTGATGACCACAGAAAATCAGAGCATCACAGGATCCCAGAATGGTTTGGGTTGGAAGGGACCCCAAATATCCCCTTTTTCCACCCCCTCCATGGGCAGGGACCCCTTCCACTATCCCAGGGTGCTCCAAGCCTTGTCCAACATGGCCTTGGACACTTTTAGGCCTGGAAAAATGAACTGGCTGGGTGGGTTTTGTGGTTCTTGGTGTTTTATTCCCCTCTATTTTTGGTTTAATCAGTTTGGGTTTAAAGTTTACACAGAGCTGTGGGAAGAACAGCAAATTCCACCGTGAGCACACTTACTTCGATGACTGCTGCATCAATGCTGGACTGCACTGAGAGGAACCCCCCATACCAGTACAGAGGGACTTTGCAGTGCCTTGCTGAAAAATCCCAGCACGTTTCTGTGGGGGAAACAAATTTTTAAAAAATAATTAATCAATATTTATCAATACATTTCTATGTACATCCGTATATAAATACTTGTGGGTGACATGTGAGGTTGAAAATGAGTTTTTATCGAAGTGCGAGGAAATCAAGATTTGGGGTTTACTCAGCCTTTTATCTTTTAATGTGTTAAATCTCTGTCCCAGGGACATTAATGCACACACAATTCTCATTTTCCAGGCATGATGTGATGTGTTAAGGTACAAAAGGGAGAGGGGCAAAAAGGTGCTGGGTGATCTCTGAGCTCCCTTCCACCCCAAACCATTCTGGGATTATCTGCTTCTCTGACTGTGGATGATATTAGTTCTTACAGCTTTTTTCTCTGATGTTTTTTTCCTTTTACAGACACAAACCCTCAAATTTTAACTCATTCTTTCTCGAACCATTTGGCACACGCAGCCTCCATCCCTCTGAGGTGGCACAGCACAGAAATCCAGCTGAACAGTTTTTAATGCGAAATCAAAGCCTGGTGTTTCATTTATTTTGTTACCTATGTGCTCGAAGCCTTCATTTGGAAACATTGCTTTGCCCATTTGAAATCTGAGTGTGTAGGAGAAGTCATCCTTAAAAACAACACCAATGGTTTCCTCCTCCAAAAGTCCTTTTTCTTCCATTTTTGCCTCATTTTCCACTTCTTCTATGATTATACCTAAATAATTAATATTGAAATATTATAATTAATATTGAAAAAATAATTAATATTGAAAAAAATTAAAAATAAAGAAATAAAACCAGCACAGCTTGTCACAGACATCTTTTATGGAAAATCCTTTCCTTAGGGTTTTTTCCTCCTGAGAAGCTGAGAGGCCTCAGGAACAAAATGTAAACAATGATTATCTGCTGCTGTGAAATGCAACAGGTGCAGCTGTGATTGGCCCATGTTGGATGTTTGTAATTAATGGCCAATCACAATCAGCTGGCTTGGACTCTCTTTCTGAGACACAAACCTTTGTTATCATTAATTCTTTTGCTATTCTTAGCCAGCCTTGTGATGAAATCCTTTCTTTTATTCCTTTAGTATAGTTTTAATATAATATATAAAATATAATAATAATAATAATAATAATAATAATAATAATAATAATAATAATATATAATAATATATAATACATAATAAAACATATATAAATAATATATATTATATATTTTATATATTTATATATTATATATAAAATATATGTATAATAAAATATATATAATGAAATAAATATATATATAATAACAATAAAATAATAAAATAATAAATAATAATCCTTTCAAGCCTTCTGATGAAATCCTTTCTTCTATTCTTGTAGTATAGTTTTAATGTAATATATATCATAAAATAATAAATCAAGCTTTCTGAAACATGGAGTCAGATCCTTGTCTCTCCCCTCATCCTCAGACCCCTGTGAGCACTGTTGTCACACAGCTGTTACCTGAATATTCAGACAACAATTAAATTGGGCATCACCACCATTTTTTTCC